CGACCATACGACACTTACGACACCTTGTGAACCACCTAAATATGTATCAAATTCAATTATAATAGTCCTGGCTAGCTACATCGTGAAATAAACAGATGACAAAAAGGCACTAAAAAATTTTAAAATACTTACATATACATATGTATGTATATGCTCGCTAAAATGTAATTAATCTAAAAATAAAGTCTTTGGGAAGAGGTCATCGTATTTAGTGTAAAATTAAAACATTTTCAATGTAAGATTTTAATTACTTTTAAACGGTAAATGTTATTAAAACTATTTTCTACAGTTGGCGGTAGAGTTGAGTTATAACTTAAAATCTTTTTTATGACCCGATTTGGCGAATATTCAAAACATGTATTGGAAACGTGAAAGGCAGTCTAATTGCCAGGTGGTGCTGAGGTCGAGTTATTACCAAAAATCGACAAGTGAGAAAGGTGCCAATATTATTATGCGTTAAAGCTTCATTCGAATAAGCCAGGGTTGAGTTGTGCAGTGGTAAATCTCAAATCACCACCGGTCGAAATACCTTAAAAGCCAATTTCATGAAAGCAATTTAATGAAAATTTGTTTTTTTAATTGAATTTAATATAGAACCTGACAGAAAAAATCATTTTTCACTTAAATTACTTTCGCGAAACTGGCTTTTAAGGTATTTCATCTCAGTCTATATATGTATATTGTATACGCATTCATTTTGAAATTGCCACCAATATATGATAAAGTTTCTAGGGCACATTCACTATAGATCCGGATCATTGTTGCCACCAGGGAACATATCATGGACATAACACTATCGTTCGGTCATTTAAGGCGGCAAACAACCACCAAACCATAGTCTTAGCCGATGAATGTGCCAGTACAAATCGTAGATATGGATTGCTGGAGGAACTGTTGGACCAAAATGTTTAAATTAAAAATCTAATTTTGGGCGGGACGAATTTCGCCGAGTCTGCTAATATTCTAATAATTTACAACATTCTTAAGTAATAAAAACGATGTCTTCAGTTGATTATAGCTTTTTGAATGTTATTGCTAACATTCGCATTCCCACATTCGCATTCCGAAAAATATGACATTCGAAACATCGCTAGTATATACATATACTTGTATGTATGGTTTAAAATGGAAAATAATATATGTGCAGACATACATACATACTTATTGTATGTAATTACATTTGTATGTTTTTAAGTGAATGCATGTGTGGAAATATGTTTAATAGAAGCACTGCTTTTAAGTCTCTCATTTGACGCATTCCAAATAAGTAATCTGCTAAAAATACTGGCTTAGCGAAAATGTGTGGTGTAATTTCGCTGGTCGATAGCAACGTGCTCACCAACTATGGGCAGCTACATATTTTTACAAGTAGTCGAATATTTTTAAAATTTTATTCTCCTTGAGTGTTAAACCGTTGAAAAAAATAGAACTAAAGCTGCAAAAAATGCTTTGAGAAGCACACGGGTAGCGGCCTTC